TGTGTGTGTGTGTGCCACTTTGATTTCTGTCATTGTTATTGCAGCTTAAATCGTTGTTGCTCTGTGTACACACTCTTTTTGCTTGGACCACAGGTGAGGGTGCATAATATCTTATCTTCGTGAATATATCAGTCTCACTGCCGCCACATCGTTGTCAGCAGATCTGTCTCGGCGGCGTTTCGCTGGACTTAACGACTTTATTGTGACTCGGGGGGGGAGGATCAGACCACAACATTTTTACATTTCGCAGATCTTCGCTGCGAAGCTGCCCGGCACTTAAGCCCCTCAGACCTCCCGCCAACAAATCAGTTTATATAAGATGGCCGACGTGCGGGGGAAACAAAAGCTCTGTGGGGTGGATGAGGCAGAAAGAAGCAGCTTAGGATCAGAGTCAGAGTTGAGATAAGTGTGTGTGTGTGTGTGTGTGTGTGTATAATCAGTGTTTCCAGATGTACGATAATTATTGTATCTGTACGATAAGTTTGCCCTCTGTCTGATGTACGATCAATAATTCACGATGTACGATAATCTGATGATTTTGTGACACTGTAATCTGCTGTGTTTTCACTTCTCTTCTTCACGTGACTTCTTTTCAGCACATTATGCTCTCTTCCTGTCTCACATTTCAAAATAAGAGCCTTGTGCCTCGAAAAGCATTGTTTCTTTTCACTAAATCGCTTCGGAACCTCGACACAGCTTTGGATCGTCGGTATTGAGCGTCTCATTCCTGCTCTGGTCGCCTGCTATAATTTCTCTCAAATTACAATAATTCTGACACGACAACATTTCCCATCTGGCAACACTGCGAGGAATCACACAGGAAGCTGTGTAGGTTGTTTCGGTCTCTTCCCTGAGGAAACTTTTCCACCAGCGTCTCTGTGTTTTGAATCAGAATTAGCATTTTGTGGCTCTAATTAACTGACAGTGGAACAAATTAACGCTGTGATAGAATTTGTGTTTCTGGAAAATCTGATCAGCAACAGGACAATTCAAAGTTAGTCGTTGTCCGTAGTTAATTTAATATTGGACGTGCAGAGGTTCGGGGGGTAAAGGTTTATGGTTCGATGGAAGATGGACGACAGCCCCCGTGTTCTCACAAGTGACAGAATCGTGTGTGTGTTTCAGTGAAGGTTCAAAAGTCGGACCACCCCCACTCCTGGGACCCCTGTGTCAACTACTGTCACCCTCTAAACTCCACCCTCTGCAACACAAGCTCCACCCTCAACAAGTCGTGGACCGCCTCCAATAACAACACCATCAACAGCCTCGACTACTGCAAATGTAAGAACGCACTTTCCTTCTTTATCTTCTCGCTCATGCTTTCTGGCTGTTACTTCTTATTTTTAATACATTTCTGGTGCAACTCATTGTCTCGTCTCTGTTTTAATTAAGTCTTCAGTCCCTATCTTTTTTTCCATCCAGTGCATCATGGGAATATTGGACATCTTCTTCCTTCTCTCTCTCTCTTTTTTGCAGCTCTGGTATCTGCCAGTTTCTCTCCCGGCTCCACGACCACGTCGGGCCCCAGCAGCCAGAGCTCCAGCACCTTGCCCCGGCCCACGGTTCCCATGAGTCCACGCAACTCGCTGCTCAAACGACGGCAGAGAAAGAAAGAGCACAAGAGCTCCTGTAAGATCCGTTCACCTGTGTGTGTGTGTGTGTGTGTCAGCAGGGAAACTAATCATCACAATGTCAAACTCACACAAGTGTATCTGTGTGTGTTCAGTGTCCCTGGCGTCCAGTTCGGTGGGTCCGGGGGGTCAGGTCGTTCACGTAGAGACCAGTGAGGTGGTTTTAACGGGCGACCCACTCAACGGCTTCGGTGTCCAGCTGCAGGGAGGAATATTCGCCACTGAGACCCTGTCTGCACCCCCGCTCATCAGATTCATAGAGCCCGACAGCTCTGCAGAGAGGTGAGCTCACACACAGGCTGTTCCTCAGGTCAGGGGCTGCGTCCTTCAGAGGACCAATCTTTACAAAGTCCAAATCTCTGGAGGATTTCCTTTTTGCAGCAGCAGCCTTACCCACATTTAGCGTTGCGTCATTAGCTACGATATATATCAGCCCAAGAAGGATCCATTCATCGCTCGGCCACGTTTGAAGGAAGCTTCTAAATGCAGCAGCTTCTCCACTGCGACACCATTTGTCTATAGATGCAGGAGGAGCCACCCGAAGCTTCGTCCAAGCTCATGTCCACAAACACTTTTACACATTAGTAGCGTGACAACGATACACGAGGCATCTTTAATGAGTATGTTCTTTAATGTTTCCATGTTATATTTTCTGTCTGTGGAGCAGACGTTTGTCAAAAGTCAAAGATCTCTGTGCAAACAGTTACGTTCAGGTACATCGCTATTAGCTGAAGGAACAGGAAGATCTCCCTGATGAGAAAATAAAAGATTGAAGCTGAACTTTAAATCAATTTTTAAACTAATCCTCCTATCGCTCGTTTGATGATTTTATTTAGTAAAATGTTCTTATTTGTTCTAAGTTTGAGGGGATGCAGCTGATTTTATAAGCTATTATTTATTAGCTTTCTTGTGTGTGTGTGTGTGTGTGTGTGTGTGTGTGTGTGTGTGTGTGTGTGTGCGGGTGTTTTAACATATTGAAGCATTTTATAAACACAAGTGTGGGAGGTGATTTACCAAATATCCATCTGTGTGAGTGTGTGTTTCCAATCCGCTGTTTGTTCTTCGATGTTTCAGTTGTGTTTGCATCATATATGTGTGTTTCTATATATATAATTATGTGCGTGTGTGTTTACTGATCAGCGTTGTCATGGCATTAACAGCTTCTCTAAGTGCTGAGTGTGTTTCTGCACCCGAGGCCACACTCCCTCTCTCCATTAGTGCCCACGCTAACAACACTAATTAGCTGCTTCCCCTCGCCCACGTCACGCAGATCGATAAGTACCTTCCTCTGCGCCTGTCGGGGTGAATCGGAACAAACCCCCTCACTCCCTGAATTATATTTAACCACAGCTCATCACCTTTAAATCATCTTTAAGTCCTGTGCAGCGGTGACCAGCGAGGACGTCGGCTTTTAAGGTTTTAGTCTGTAATTATCCTGCATTAGTGCTGCAGGAAGTTTCTCTGCAAATATAGTTTGGTATAGTTTTAACCGTGCTCAGTTTATTTACTGTATATATTATTATCTTATGCAATGAGGAATCTAAACTCGTGTGTTATATTTTGCTTTAAAAATAATTTTTAACAGATCAAATGAAACATTGGAACAAACACACGAAGCTTGATATTAAACTTCCAGCTGAGAAAATGAAGAGCAATCAACATAGGAGGTCACATATCAATACGTCGGAGCAGAGTAAAGAATCTGTTGCAGGAGGAAGGAAAGAGAAAAAGCAGCGTACAGTTAATAACCAAACAGCTGTCAGAGGATGGATATTTCCTGAAACAAGTGACGCCTGACGCATCACTTTTATCGCCGAATTTACAAGAAGACATTAGCGGTTAAGTACCAGCTGTAGGTGACGCTTCACAAAGTTTACAGTGTCGCCCTCAGTGAGGTTCGGCTAAAGTGGCTGATTTCTTTAAGGGAAACTGGTGACAGTGCAGGAACTGGGCTGAAGAATCAGTGTGCACAGCAACATCAATATAAACCTGTAGTTCTGAAAAAGGTGCTGGGTTAATAAAGTCCGACTGTAGGACGACAGAATCTGCAGATTTAGATCGGATAATGAAAACTGAGAAACATATCAGAATCGTATCGGTCAGATTGAAATGAACAGAAGAACAGGAAGGACAAAGACAGAAGAATTCACGTTCAGGTGCAGATAAAGAGTCAGATCCGTGTGTGTGTGTGTGTGTGTGTGTGTGAATTAATCAATGTGTGCAGAGATCAAAGCACGTTAGAAGCTTCACAGGCCAGCATCTTAAAATCTGGAACACCTCCCTCATAATTTATCATTTATTTCTTACCAGGTAAAAGTTATTTATATGATTTATGACTTTAATAGTCAGACGTTTTTAAGTTCCTCACTCCTGCACTGATTCATGCAGCGAGGATTCAGAGAGTGGGGCAGGGGGGGTTTCCAAACTTGTGGATGTTTTGAGAAGTGAAATCTTCAAAAATCCAGCAGCTAAATATAATACAGTGGTGATGTGTGGCACAGCAGGGAGTCTGAAAGTCCTCCTGGTGTGATCTGTCTGGAAACTAAAGACATCGCAAGTACGCTGATATGACAATTAGTACGTCTACTTTTTTTTTTTTTTCCTCGGTTCCCTCTTAGAAGCATTTTCCACCTGCGGGTAAAACGTATCTGAAAAGACACAAAGAGTGACGGGGTGTGAGAGTAGACGTTCACCCTGGTGACAGAGGCAGTTGTTAGTGTGTTGATGTTTTTGGAAACCTTTGAGATATTCAGACTGAAGCCCTGAACGGGTTTTTTAATAAACCTTAACTTTTCCAAATGTCTTTTCTCTGGCGGGATCCCTGCAGGGATATCAGCTCAACTCTAATCACAATAAACCCAGAGAATTGAATTGAATCCAAAAAACAAAAAACCTCATACGCTGCAGGATACTTTAACCACATGTCCGAAAATCACACTCCCGCAGTTTGGTCCACAACGTATAGCTGCCGCAGATATTTCCCTCCAATGATCCAGAGGGGCTTCGTGTGAGAACGCAAATGTCTGAGTGCGTTTCTTCAGACATTCTCAAGTAGTGAGTGTGTTGATAGGATGAAGACGCAAACTTGAAAAGAAGAAGATTTAAAAGATTTCGGTGATAATAGCTGACCCTGGTGAATCTAATCGGAGCCGTGTTTAATCACCACTAATTAGAAAAAGCTTAAAGAAAAGAAAAAGAATCTCATTATATAATATTTATTTTCTAGACAGCAAGATATGAAATAATGTGTGAAAATCAAAAGTGTCCAGATGAAGATTCTCTTATAAGGCTCTTATCTTAAGTAAAGTCACAGTTTGAATGAAAACTTCTGCAGCGTCCAGTCCGTCTGACATCACCATGGTAACCCTTGCTGTAGGTGCGGCCTGCTCCAGGTCGGAGACCGCCTCCTGTCAATCAACGGGATCCCCACAGAAGACGGAACACTAGAGGAAGCCAATCAGCTCCTCCGAGACGCGGCTCTGACCAATAAGGTGACGCTGGAGATAGAATTCGACGTAGCAGGTTTGTAGAAAAAACGAATTCTTACTCATCGTACTTACATTTACACTCTGATGGTTTTGTTAATATATCAATAGAAGCTTTGAATTGAGTCTCTATAATTTACAGAAAATATAATATGATATTATTTAGTGTACTTTTTTGAACCGATCTGCTTCAAAAGTGAATTATTTCTAGTTAAGGTTCAAATTATGAGATTTTAGAAAATATGTTCATGTGTTTTTAAGTTATTTTGTGGAGAAAACAACCGTCACAGGTTTGAGACACGTGTTGGAGAATCAGTTCATTCCTTGTTGCACAGTTTAGCTGCAGCGGTTTTAAAATGCATGAACTGGTCGGATGCTGCTGTGTCAGACGAGGAAGGTGGACAGAATAATTGCAGGTCTCGACCCCATCGTCATCATCCAACCCCAGGAGCTGGTCTGGGTTCAGAACATAATGTCACCGGTGTCAAAACGTTAAACTGTGTCTGGAGCCACATGCAGATAAAATCTGAATCAGGCGTGTTGAGGGGAAATCTGATGATTCTAACATTATATTTATTTTAAAGACCTGCAGAAGGAGACGTCTGGTTCTTCACTATTTATTTTCAACTGTTGGACGATGATTGTAAAAGACAAGTCGACAGGATCTGGATTTTGTGCTTCGCAGCTCTGCGGTTACAAATCACGTCTTTTTCCATTTATTTGACGTCGTCTTTCATAATGTTGCATCAGCTAATTAGCCGATATCGCCGGCAAGTCAAATTAGCATTTGTCCTGTTAGCTGAGGGAAATCAGCCCCAAAGGTTGGTGCAGCCAGACGAAGACGTTCACTCCTGAAAGTCTTCAGATGTGTCTGATGGGAGTTCTCTTATATTCCGCTGTAAGCCACAACACCGCTGCTGACGTTAAATCACTCCGATGCACGATGAAGTCTCAGGGATGGACGGCTTTACCTCTCGTAAATATTCTAAAATGATGGAGATGCATATCCAGATCAGGGGATACAGGGTTTTCATTTATGGGATCATGACTCACGCAGGCAAACAGTGAGGATTTGAAGTTGCCTCGGAGAAAAGTCGCCAAATGAGTCGTGATTACAAATGTTAAACTGGATGAAAAGGACTATTTGTAGCTTCTGTTTCATTAACGACTTGTTGTGTTTGTGTGTGTTTGTGTTACAGAGTCTGTGGTGCCCAGCAGCGGCACCTTCCACGTCAAACTGCCGAAGAAGAGAGGCGTGGAGCTGGGGCTCACCATCAGTGGTAGCAACGCGCACATACAGAGACACACACGTGAACACACATCCGGACACATGTGGAACCATGTTAATGCATGTGATCTACATTTTGTTTTGAAGGGATTGCAGACAGAATGTTTAAATGTCAGCGACCGCCCTGCAGACACACACACACACACACACACACGAGCAGACACTTCTCTCATCCGGGGTCGTCGGTGCTGCAGAGACCACAAACATCAACAGTTGCTTTTCAGGCCGGTTGGTTCTTTAAAACAAACCAGAGGAAAGCATCATTTGTCTCCTTTCAAGAAAAGTCCCAGATGGGTGTGTTGCACAGATCAGTGAAACACAAACTCATCAAACTGCTGCAGGATGGATTGGACGCTGCCGATCCTGGTGGTGTCACCAATCATCAGTTTCGGACACCGCCGATGTTTTTTTTTTTTTTTGGGGATAAATGGGAGAAAATTCCTGCATCGAACAGTCTCCTCTCTTTCTTTGTGGAGTCTGGTGCAGCGGCACGCTGAGGCTCGGAGCGCATCAGGTGTCGTTTTAGGGGCTAAGTTGCGTATTCAAGTGTGGTGCATGTAAAATTTAAGAAAAAGTTAATGACGAAAATCTGTTGTTGGAAACATTAATTAATCTCCAACGCAGAGCGTCGGCCTCTTCGCTGCAGAGATTCCTCTCCCAGTGATTATTGATATATTCCTTCATTACATCGTTCACTGTGAAGCTTTATTGCTTCTGTCCACGCGGTGATTAACACCCTCGCTCCTCAGTGGTAATGACCTACATTCAGTGTTTAATTATCGTGAGTCAGGGACGTGTGTGTGTGTGTGTGTGTGTGCTGCAGTGTGCTGAGATTATCTGAATTATTTTAGGTGGCATTAAATCTGTGACAGGTCGACTGGTGAACCTGGAACATCTTTAAATATTTGGATTAAAGACATAAACGCGTCAGTAGGTGGGTTCTTAGGGAGATTTACCACAAACGTTTGTCACGAGAATCTGCAGAACTGACTGAGACGACGTGAGAGATTTACCTCCGGCTGTAAAGTAACGGAGTCAAGTGTCACTGACTCGTTTACCCCCCGAACAAGTTTCTCTGCATTTTATTATTATATAAATTATTTAATGTGTAACTTCTGATAACAATGAACAAGAGTAGAAGTGTGTGAATATCCTAAATGGTGCAATGGCGCCATCTTCTGAATGAAAGTGTGCACAGCTGATCCCACACAGACGTCATCAGCCATCTTGGATGTTTACAGAGACTTATCAGCTATTTGCCTTTGTCACTTTTTAAATTATAATTTTTATACGTTAGAGCGGGTCGTCCACTCACCAGAAGGTCGGTGGTTCGATGCCGGGCTCCTCGCCGTACATTACACATTATTATTACTAATATTATATTAAAGCTTTATCAAACACCTGGACAATAATAGAAACTTTAGGCATCACAACACAAGAATGTAAATAAAACACATCAGTATAATAAATGTTGATCCATTTAGATTTGAGATTTTATTAATGAAGGATCGTTTCTCGTTGGAGATTCAAGATGCTCCAGTTTGTTTTCT